ATCAACAATTTATTTTGTGTCATTTAGCCAACAGAATATATACAAAACAAAAACAACAAAAACAAATATAATTCAAGCAAATCACACTTTGATATCCATTCAACGAAAAACAATAATATTATAAGAAAAAGTGTACACGGAAAATAGTTCAATATATGTGTTTATTCTTATAACATGGTAATGCATTTGGCTGGCTGCTCCCACCTAAAAGAGAAAAATATTTGTATTACATCACACCTATATAATATATCATATGACAAGTTATGTCAGAGAAAGGGAGAGGGAGAGGGAGAGGGGAGGGGAGGGGAGGGAGGGAGGGAGGGAGGGAGGGAGGGAGGGAGGGAGGGAGGGAGGGAGGGAGGGAGAGAGAGAGAGAGAGAGAGAGAGAGAGAGAGAGAGAGAGAGAGAGAGAGAGAGATGAAGATAAAGAAAAAGAAAAAAAAGAACGCAGGAAAGAGAGCAGCAGAGAAACAAAGAGAAAGAAAGAAAGGAGAGAAGAAAATAGAAAGAGAGGACAAAGAGAGAAAAGAGACATCCAGGGGACATCCACAACACCCAACTTACCATTCCGAGAGCAGCCTATTAACCTTGGCAATGAGCTGCATACCCTGGGTCACCTGGCTCTCACATTTAGACGTCTGTGCAGTTATGTCTCTCTCCAAATGGCTGTCACTTGCTTCGACTTTCTCTGTCAACTCTGAAATGTGACCAAATCTAATGCCTTACGTCCTTGCGAATAATAGAGTAATGAATATTGTACTTGTGGTGTGTATGTATAGATCTATATATGGCATATGTATGTGGTATATGTATAACTCTAATGGGGTGTGTGTTGTGCCTTTTGTTACTTTGGTATATAGTATCTGATTTCAATATGAGCTTTTAAATATTTCCATTTAGTATTGAATATCTAAACCATGAAAGAGCTATAGTATAATTAAATAAATATAACTAAATACTCCCTAAATAAAAAAAAATATAATAACTATCTTTTTCTAACCTACATTTTTGTACTTTAATATCCAATGCTGATTATCTACAAGACTTTCACCGTTTTCACGAAAATCAACTAAGAATCCTCCCCTACCCTTAACAAATACAAACTTACCTTTCATCATCTGCATAGTCAGAGTATCTCCAACTTTCCTTGAGTTCTGCATCGCTACCTTAGTGAAAGCGAAATGATCCATCTGCTTGTGGATGCACGCCGTCTGACTCTGCTTATCACAGACCTCGCTAAAGACTCCCTCCCACGACAACAGAGCACTACAGAGGCGCCACATGGACTCCCAACCTGGCTGGTTTACGGACTGCTCGTGCCACACTAGGGAAGTCGTGGACAGATCTGCCTTCTTCTGCAACCCGTACCTTGCAAAGAATGGGGAATATAATATAAGGAAAACTTTGTGAGTTAAGTGCCGGTCCCAAGCCCAGGGTAAATAGAGGGGGTTGGCATCAGGAAGGGCATCCTGCCATTAAAATATATATGTGTGTGTGTGTGTGTGTGTGTGTGTGTGTGTGTGTGTGTGTGTGTGTGTGTGTGTGTGTGTGTGTGTGTGTGTGTGTACATATATGTATGTGTATATATATCTGCCAGAACCTAATTATGGCGACCCATATACCAATGGAAGAATGGAAAAGTTGTGAGGAATGAAAAGTATTCATTCTTCCCTAAAGTGGGTGGGGGTGGGTGGGGGTGGGTGGGCGTGTGCGTAGGTGGTTGTGTATGTGTGTTTTACTAATTAATTATTGTATTGTAAGTACATATTACACAGAAAACATAACTGCATTGGTATACAACCATGCTGATTATATGTTTCTGTTAAAATCCCTCTCATAATATAAAGATTAAAGAATCTCTGCTACTGCTACAAACTACCGATTATAGTTTATTTGTCTGTTTGTTTTGTCAAAGAACGCAAAACGCATATCATAATTTTTTACTCAAGGAAGAGAAGAGAAAAAACTACATCCTCCTGAAGACTAAATGAAGTGACAATCTTACTCTCCCATTTTAGTAGTGAGGAGCTGACTCAGTGGCACAGCTAGGAACGCCCCGCACTCCTCCCCCAGGCAATTTTTCGTGACAGGCGCGGGGTATGTCATGGCCCCGATAGCCTTATCAATTGTGGCTTGTATTTCTCTCCGTTGTTCCTTGATCATCTGTAGGCCTTCCCCCACGCACATGGCAAGGCACTGGATACTCTCGACTCTACCTTGCTGCGTTGGGAGATGAAGAAAGAAGGGTGGTAGTAATAAGAGTAACCCTGATAATTCCACTGAGAGGGGGGTAAGATTGTTCAAGGGTGGTTTGCATATATGTGTTTCCTTCTGAACATGCTCTGTAGATCAGCAAACGATGATAGAAATAACGTAATAAGAGAATCTAATAACAAAATACGACATGGAACACATAACATCTACGACAAATATTGAAATATCAACAAAATAACAAATCAAACTATGAATCTTCCACAAGGCTCAAGACACTCCAAGCATTCTTCTACAAAATCAAGACTAAACTAAGCACAGATAGGACACTCACGACTTCCTTATTGAAGCTGGAGATCTGTGCGTGTTTGGCCCTCAATGCGTCTCTGGCCTTCGCTGCTGTTTCGGTCCTTTCCTGCATGGACAGGGTCAGCTGCTCGGCACACTGGGCAGCGGCTCTCTCGCCAGATACGCTGATGTTCTCGTTCACTACATTAATTACAGCAGGAGCAACCCCATCTTCTGTATAGGTTCTCTTAAGGGGAGAAGAAGAAAATTTTAAACTATAATTTACAAACTCATATAAAGGAAGTCTATGAGACACATATTACTTTGTATATATTAAGAACATGAGAAATCAATGGAACTAGTTTGGTAATGGCTTACTCTTTTTAAGTTTACGTGAACTTAAGATATATAAAAACACGAAAAAAATATAAAAAAAAATCTCAAACCTCAGCAGCAGCAACTATATTATTATGAAGGGTCCTGAGAGCTCGAGACAGAGACCTCGCTGCTCGGTCTGCCTGGTGGGCTTCAACATACAGCTTGACGTGAGCTGCACTCATGTGAGCCAAAAGTTCGCGCACGGACTCGATCAGACCACCAGGGTTGATGTCATCGATGAATGTGCCGTCCTTCTCACATTTCAATCTGTTGGTGTTTTTTTTATGAAATCTCTAAACTTCTGAGTTTCCTATATCAAAATCCTACAAAGACAATGTCCCATTAACCCATTGCGGACTGGCATGGCATGTACGTATATGTCATGTCTACTGTGAGTTTACTAGTTTAATTGTTTTTATTCATAGATAGCTATACTTGTACTAAGTCACCAGTGAACCAGTTATGACTAATGCCTGCTCCGCTTTTGTGGCTAAGCACTAGTAGAGCCATCCATGTACAGACACATTCCGCAAAAATCTAAAAAATGAGCACAGCATTTTCCCATTTTTATTCATTTTCCCCGGCGACAATGGGTTAAGTCTTATACCTCTCCCTATTAGTTCTTTACAGATTTTACCTCAGGATCTGTGCATCTTTCACCAGGTCAATGTTCTGGACTTGGATGTGCAGATTTCTCGTCGCCTCCCGAGCATTACTCAGCACAGCCTCAAGCAGCATTCTGGGTTCCCACCTTGCCATTGTTTCTCCAACAAGTTCCCAAACATTTAACTATATGTACAGAAGAATAAAGAGGAGGCTAATTTCCCGATAGAAACGGAGTCATATTATTTAGTATCACAATTTCCTTTACAACTATTTTTCATTATCTGAAATGTAGTATCTACAGTTTCATTTAATAAAGAATTTATAAAATGTGAAGGCTTTGACAGTTCATAGTCATATTCTCAACAGCATATATTTCTGAAATCAATTTATTAATGGTATTAAATCACGAAGGGACGTACAAATTACGAAAGGCTCTACAAATCACAAAAGGACGAACAAATTTGGAAAGGACGAACAAATTTGGAAAGGACGAACAAATCAGAAATGGACATAGAAATTACTAAAAGGATGCACAAGGCTTTACCTTTTCCTCGTGGATGCGATCCGGGGAGCTCAGATACCCTTTGATGATGGAGCGACGAAGTTCTTCTAACTTCAATAGATTTGCTTGCAATTGTTTCTGCACGAGAAAAAAAATGTTTATCGTATCTTAGAAGCATTGCTTTCTCTCTATGCATAATATAGTGATAACACAGTGTACTTTTCTTTGAAGCGCTATCTGGTATTTAGTGATTTTTCAAAGCAATAGCATGTAGATTTTATTTATTTTTATTTATTTATTTTCTTACATATCTATTTTTCATTCCATTATCATATTAGTGAAAACATAGAATTTAGAGTGAAATGCCGTACCTGTTTACAAAAGACAGCAAAACAAATTATCTTCCCAAAAATATGAATGCCAAAACAAGAGAAGCAACTTCATTAAAAAAAAGGAAATTAAATCAAACAATTCCTTTCGACTTTCCCTGACCTACAAAATCACAGAATAAGAAGTATACGTGGACAATACAGACTCACGCCCTCAAACCTCACCTGCAGGTTGATATCTAAAAGCGACCGCCCTTCCTCAGGACAAGGTAAATCTTCCATTAAGAGAGAGAGCTGAGACCGCCATAGTTGACAATGCTCAATCTCTTTCTCCCGTTCCTCCTGGGTCACCTTCAGTAAAGTGATCCTGCGACGCACTTCGATCTCTCTCTGGCGCAGTTCCTCGTTCCTCTGATCTTGTGTAGGAATTTGTGTATGGATAATAATGATAAAACTCTGGCTTCTTAGTTTAAAGTTCTACTGCGAAATTTACGTGTGGATCTTGTGTATGGATAAGGATAATAAAATTGGCTTCCTTGTTTAAAGTTCTACTGCGAAATTTACTTGTGGATATGTATATTATGTATTTTTTCTGGATTTTCTCTTTCATATAAGCTTAATTTTTTGTATTAATGTCTCTACTAAGAGCACAGTATCTTCTTGTACATATGGAGTATATTTTATATGCTACATTTTCTTTTTTCTTTCTTTTTTTTTTGTTCTCTCAATCATGGGAACCCAAACCATTCAAACCTTTTACATACGCACACCCTACACCAGTGGTTCTTAACTTTTTAACTACCACGCCCCCTTTAGGAATTTGTCCTTCCCTCTACGCCCCCCCTGCATCTGTAAAGAAAATTCCCTCCCAGGTTTTAAAGGCAATTATAAGTATGTTTTGTTAGTCTTCTTAATGAGTATGAATTAGTGGCATTATAATCAAACTTTCCGTTCTGTGCCCATGCTCTCCTAAAGGGAATAACAAAGATAATTAGAGAAATTACTGCCTTTTTTCTAATAGCTCGCGCCCTCTTTGGAAAATACTGAAGCCCCCCAGGTTAAGAACCACTGCCCTACACCCTCTGTAAGTCACCTGTTTTCTTTTGCTTTTTAACCAGTACGTCATAATTTTACTCACTGAGTTGCTGAATTTCCGCCCTTTCCACTGAAATTTCAACGCCAGCGTCTACAATGGAAGCTTTTAGTCGCAGCCTCTCCTCTGTGGCTGATGCCCCTTCTCCTTCGTCTCCTGTCAGCTTCTGTAGAGTCAGGTGCAAAATTAAGTCAAATTACTTCCTAATACAATGTAAAAGAGGAAAAAATAAGTTTCCTACTTCATTATATAATTGTTGAAGATGGATGTCAAATCATGTCTGGAAATGGTTATTTGTGACTGGATACGGGTAATATATTTGTGGGAAAATTGTTTCTGGAAATTGCATAGTTACTCCTACAATAAGTCAAGACTTTTCCGTTTTCATTAAATCAGAATCTCGTCTTCCTAAATCAAGTTTATTTTATATATCACTTCATTTATTTTCAACCATAAGGTAAAACACGCAGGACTAAAAAACGTAATTATAACAGTGGCTGATAAAGTAAAAATTTACAAGCCAACTATTATGAAGTAAAAATCAAATACATAGTTCAGTTAAAAGTCAAGAAAAAAAATCAGGCAAAAACTTCAGAAAAAAAACATCACATATAGTTACGTAACTTTAGTCTCTCTCTTTCTCATTCTCAAGTACTCTTTAACTACATACTAGATGACCTGTTTACCTTTTTATTCATAAATACCTTCACCCTTTGTTATTTTCGATCACAGCCCCATAATACACAGCTCTAGAAAGGACATTAAAGAGAGGTAGGCATCCCTTGCAGCTAAGGCACTCGGCGAGTTATAATGGAGACGTTTTATATTTGTCATTCCTGAAATTTCTGTGGCTTCTCGACTCTTGGTGAGTGGAAAGATTCAGGGTGTTAATAATGCCTTGTGCAGCAAAATGATCTTTAGGGTAATAATAGTGTATAAAAAATGTGTGCGTGTGGGTGTTGGTGTGGGCGGGTGGGTGTGATGTGACATTCGCCAAACGGGAACATCTGCCGCTGACCTGACTCCCAGAGAAAACAGGATGCAGGTGGCCAAGGGAAATATGACCAGTGTCCCCAGGCCCTGCTGACCTGACCCTCAGCTGCAGAGAGAGGTTAACCCCAGGCCCTGGAGGCCCGCTGCAGACGGCCACGCCCCTGGGCAAGGCAAAGGGAAAAATGACCAGTGTCCCAGGAGGCCACGCCCACGTGAAGGTCGGGCATTGGCAGTTTCTTTAGTCACGCCTCTGTAGCTCCGCCCCTGGCTTCCAGTCACCGCTACTTATTCTCCAAGGATGACCCTGTCAAACCAGAGTGTGCCTGCTGCTGGCTGACCCAAGGTCGGCAGCCTGGCCGGCTCAGGTCAGGGCTGACCGTCCCATCCCAGCTGACCGCGCGATACCCAAGGGTCATACTTGTGTTGACATCTCGTGTGCTTGCTCTTATCAAAATAAAGAGCTTTAAGCCACTAAGCTTTTACTACTTCCTGTCACCAATGTTTAGAGGTCCCCTTTATATAACCCTTACAGTGGTGATAGCGGTGGTAGTTGTGTCCTTTTGGCACACAACCGAATCATTCTCCGAAGAAAACCGCTCGGCTTCGACGAACGCAAGATGACACATCTTCAAGAAAACCGTGAGTACACATTTATGGGCCCCTTCTCTTTCATTCCTTTTCTATTTTTCCCTAAATGTGTTAGGCCATGTACAGCCAGCTCACGTTAGTTTTTGGGTTAAAAGTGCTAAGTATAGCAATGTCATACTCTCATTTCTCATTCTCTGACCTCACTTCTCATTACTGTCAATCGCGGTATGGAGTTAAACATTATGAAATCGTTCATTTATTAAGTGTCTATTTAATTTTTTTTCGTGATTAAATTATATTGTTTCAATTGTATCGAATTTAGCGCGTTGGTGAATTTATTCTTTCACGAATATTCACTCATTAAATTCATCTCTCTCCATTCTCTGTTTTGACCTGACCTTACGTGAAAGTCATTAAGTCAGCCTGCCTAAACAGCTGGTAGCTCTGACCTGACTTGACCTTGAGTGATTGTTACAGTGATATGGCTGAGAAAACAGTTTGCAATTCCCTTTATATTGTTAATGCATAGCAACCATTACTTGTTCATGGTGACAAATTCTATCGGCGCTAGAACGGAACTTGTAATGCGACTTGTATAACTAATATAACACCAAGAGGTACCCTCATTGAAAGGTTGCAATTATGCGTAATGACTCACGTATGAGAGTAGGTTAAGGTAACTGAAGTAGATCATACGTTCAGCAAACTTTGAGCCAGGGTGACCGCAATTATGTCCATTAATTTAGGACTAGGATTTAAGTCTGATTTAGGATCCACTTAATTAATCACAACCCGCTCACACTTTTATATGTCTCCGTCATGTTGGGTAAAATCCCATCGGTTCGTGATTCATGATAAATCCTCGCAGGGCATTTCATGAGCGCTCATTATAGATCCACAGATAGAGTGGGTAATTTATAGATTTTCCCAGCTCGTTTAAGCTTCATAAAATACGGCAACATTTGGGGACGTCCCTCCATCAAATGAAGTCTGCATGGTCGGTAAAGACACCTACTTCCTCGGGGAAATTCCCGAGAAGATTTACTCGCGAAAAGGCTTGCGAATAATTTTCATGTCACCATTCATTAATGCGTCATTTTGTCGCATATCATTAAATGTTAAATTCAATGTGGTACTTGGAATAATTTTGAATTACGTCTACAAATAATTAGTCGCATTATGGTAAAATGAACTTTATTCAGCGTGTTGGCAACACTACAGCTATAGGTCACTCTTACTTTCATTGACACCTGTCAATCACTATACTATATTGCCGTCTCCCTCTCCTATTTTCCTCTGTTAACTTGAACAAAACACAAAATGAAAAAAAAGACGAAAAAACTGCAAATTATGAAAAAAAATCGGCTTGTAGCATTTAACACCTTCTCTTCTCTGTCGTTTTTCCTTCTCTCACTATCTGGCCCATTATGTGTTATTCTGGTTCCCGATATCTGAAGCGGCACCGAAGGAGGCCCTGCTGCAGAAACGGTCACCTTCGGAAGCCATTAGAAAACGTCATCGGAGATCGCCGCTCGCCAGGACACCCGAGATCCAGCGAAAACAGGAGCTCGCCAGTTGGGGTTCGCCGTCCTTAATGCTGTGGACGGGCCTGCCTGGATGCCGCAAACCCAGTCAAACTCCAGGAGCTCATTAGTGC